TTTATTATTTATTTCAGGAGTTAATTTATTTTATTTATTTATTATTTTATTTTTTTAATGCTGCATTTCTTAATTTAATAGGATAACATTTCAAAGTAAAGTCAGCATTTTATAAACATTCTGCCATAATTAGGTCTTAATCCAATGAAGTTATTAATCACTCTTTTAAAGCTCTTTGTGCTTTTTAATTTTCTCTTCCAGCCTTGAAGATTCCATGTCTACAATTAATATTTATTTAGACCGGAATCATTCATTCTGTGGATGAAAAAGGGCCGCATGCTAACCTGACTAACTCAGGGAAGGTCTGCATTGGTGGCCTTGCAAACTCAAGAGACCTAAAGTAACGAAAGTATGGTCTGAAACTTAAACCTTTAATTTAATTTTGATCTTTACTGAGCCTATAGTTTTTGTGTTTTTTGTTTTTTTTGGTTTTTTTCCATCTAAGATAATATGCCTGAGGAATATTAACTTCCCTTTTTCCAGATCCTTCAGGACACAACCAAATGCAATTAGGTGCCTGGAGGGAGACCATAAATTCCTTCATTGTTATTGTTGTCATGTTAATTGTTGACTGTTAGCTATCCGGTACCCACCTAAGCAAAAAAATGTGTCTATCATTTTACTTTCTATCCAATCCCAGGGCCCCTCTACCTGCCTCGCCCGCCCCCCGCCCCCCAGGGTCACCCCTTTAAAGGAAAAAGTGTAAAATCTCAGAGTTCAATGGAGATTTAATACACAGCCTCGAGCTCTCACAGTTTCTTATGGTTGCCTGCATCTTATGTCCGGAAATTATTTTTGTTTTCTTCCCTAGTGCTGCTGGCTCTGGTGATATGGGAGTGGGATGAGGGCCTGCTGAGAAGGAGCGGGGCGGCCAATCCAGTCGGTTGTTAATGAGTACCGTGTAAAAGCCTGGGGCATAACATTTTTCTAAGGCACCGGAAAGACTACGGCAGGAGCTAAAAGGAACTCGGGAAATTTGAATTACAGCAAGTGGCTTAATATTTTGAGGACCAGTGACTGTGGCTTGCCATCTGCAAATCCAACATATCTATTGTCAGTGTTCTCTGAGGGTGTTTCTGTGAAAGCTTCTCTTCCTGGGCCAGGAGAGGGACTCAAATTAGTTCATCCTTTTGCTAGTTGCTAATCATTTAGAAAGTTAAGAAAGCAGAAGGATGAAGAAATTAAATTAACCTGGGTCTGCTTTCCCCAGGGAATTTTATCACTGGGAGGGAGGAAAGGCTAGTAGGATCTCTGACCTTAAAAATCAGCTGATATCTTCCTTCCAGGAAAAGTCGAATGAGGTGTAGTCCCTGGCCCAGCTTAGATTGGCAAGGTCATGCTCTAGGCTTGCCCATGGCCTTTTCCATCCTCAGCTTTGCTAAGAGGCAGACAAGGGTAATCACTGCTGTTTTCTGCTCTCCCTCCTTCCTCAGCCCCTTGCCCAGGTTTGGCAGAGGATAGTTTTTATTTTAAGAATGACTGAGTTCCACCGAAGCCGGTTTGGCTCAGTGGTAGAGCGTCAGTCTGCGGACTGAAAGATCCCAGGTTCGATTCCGGTCAAGGGCATGTACATTGGTTGCGGGCACATCCTTGGTAGGGGGTGTGCAGGAGGCAGCTGGCCGATGTTTCTCTCTCATCGACGTTTCTAGCTCTCTATCTCTCTTCCTCTCTGTTAAAAATCAATAAAAAAAAAAAAAATTAAAAAAAAGAATGACTGAGTTCCAAAAACCCAGAATGCCCTTGGGTGCCTGCTGAGTCCTTCTGGGAAGGCGATGGGATCACTGAAATGGAATCTTGCATTTTTGATAAGCAAAGAACCAAGATGTTGACTTTTTCAGATGAAAGATAAAGTACCCATTGGCTATGCACTCAAGCTTTTATTTTTTATTTTATTGATTTCAGAAAGAAAGGGAGAGAAAAATATCAATGATGAGAGAGAATTATTGATTGGCTCTCTCCTGCATCCCCCCTACTGTAGATCCAGCCCGAAACACAGGCATGTGCCCTGACCCGGAATTGAACTGTGACCTCCTGGTTCATAGGTCAACCCTCAACCACTGAGCCACAGCAACTGGGCTGCACTCAAGCTTTGACATGAACTCTTCATGTCATTTTGAACATATATCCTGACCTTTCATCAGTGACCTGTTCATGAGCTAATGTTTTTCTAGCAAGCAAAGAGAGGATGTACCCTGCCCCCATGTCATTAGCTGGCCTTGTCTTTCACGGCAGCATCCATTTGCAGAGCAGCTTGAATGTGTGGAAGGTGGGTAATGGAGTGTAAATTTTATGAGTCCTTCAGGAAATCAAATCTGTGCCTTCTGCTTTTTTGGCACCATGCCACTTGAACCAGCTCTACCAGCCGAACCAGCCATACCAAGAATTGATGAAGCCCTTGGAGATTACCATCTCCTTACCCTGTTTTAGAAAAGAGAAAGCTGGGAAACAGCAGCTCCTTCAAAATATCCAACAATGTAAGAGCAGGACTTACAAAAAATTAGTCCCACCACTATTCACCACCTTTTTTTCTTTCTTTTTTATCATGTAGTATTGTTTATTGATTTTTTACAGAGAGGAAGGGAGAGAGATAGAGAGTTAGAAACATCAATGTGAGAGAGACATCGATCAGCTGCCTCCTGCACACCCCTCCCTGGGGATGTGCCTGCAACCAATGCACATGCCCTTGACCGGAATCGAACCCAGGACCTCTCAGTCCGCAGGCTGACGCTCTTATCTACTGAGCCAAACCGGTTTCAGCACCACCTTACATTTTTTGATGAATTACATGCATATATCTCATTCATTTATTTATACAGTGAATACTCAATTAGCAATCACTACAAGCTAGGCATGATGTTGTGTATGCAGTGGTGATGGTGTTATGAAGGAAAAGAACAGGACTATGGGACTTGGGTTCATTGAGACCCTGAAGTCCCTCTTACCTGACTGTTCAGATCCATGGTCAAAGACGGACTGTAATTTTCCATGACGGGATCTGCTGGCCCCAGGGTGATGGGAGACCGCTAGGGAGGAGAAGGGCCCGAAGGCTGAGAAAACAGCCTGCCCTCCCTCATCTCAGAGTCCACGCAGGCAGCAGCTTATCAGGAGGGACAAGTCCTGACCTAGACTGCAACATGATCTCTCGCTTTCTGAGAAAAACTGATCTGAGGTTTGAGATTGAGGATGTGGTTAAACTGTGTTACAAACCAGAAAGCCAGTACTTTTTTTTTTTTTTTTTTAATTAAACTCAATCCCAAGAATTGATAGTTCAGTGCCTCGAAGTCACCTTGGCTTTTCTGTGAAGAAAAAAACAAAACAAAACTGGCCTGGTTGCTTAGAGTTCAAAATGAAACCAGGAAAAATAAAATGGGGCAGGGCTAGAAGAACTACTGCCTGTTTTTATTATTATTATTATTATTGTACTTATTTATTTTAAATTGTGTATATGCGAGTACTAATAGAGTCTTACAACATGTTCCAACAGCTGAGCTTGTAAGGTATCATATAATGTTTGCACATGTACAGCTCTTTCTTCCTCTGCTATGTAGAAATGCAATGTTGTTTTTATTTCCTGATAAAATTCTGGGTTGCGAATCATGGATTCACTACATGTTAGACCTGGGAGGCATTTAGAAGTCAGGACATGTAGCTTTTAAGGGACAGGAAACATCCAGTTCAAAAGACTGCGTATGTTTCTTTTATGTACTGCTTTTACCTCCCAAATTGTTTCCCATCCTTGATCACATTTTATCTGTGCTGTGACCTAAAAAGTTTATCATCTCCATTTTATAGATAGATTGCTGTCCTCCAAACGTCGGCTGCATTTTTCTGTTTCTTTGCTCTTGTGCATGCTGTTTCATTCCTGGTATGTCTTCACCTCAAAACCATTAGTCAAAATCCTACTCTTCCTTGAGGGCCTTACCTAGGACTCTACTCACTCCCCGAAACTTTCCTTCCTTTTCCTAACCAGTCCCATGTCTTCTCCTTTTGCATTTAAGAGATTTTGCACTTACACCATCCTTTTGGCTGTCACTTGTTTATCCATCTAACTTCCACATTGGGTTGGGGCCCATTGTGAGGGCAAACACTGTGTCAGAAGGAAAAAAACCCCACAACAGTAGTAATTCACTAACATCTGTTAAACCCCTTTTTTATACAAACTCTATGCTAAGAACTTTATTCTGTCATTCACCATGTCTACTTTGAAGTGTCTTCTCTATGGCAAGTACTGATTTAGGGACTGGACACTACATTATTTCAGTTCATGCTACAAAAAACCGAATGAGGTAGATGTGATGAGCCCTATTTTACAGATTAAGGAAACAGGCATAGAGCCCAGTGATTAAGTAAACTGCCCAAGGTGACACATATAATTGGTGGTGAAGCTGGCATTTGAATTCTACCATTCTGATCGCAGAAACCATGCTTGTCACCATCACATGCCAAATAGTCTCCTTCTCTCATCCCTATCTTCCTCCCAGCACCCATTCCCAGTTCCTAGAAGAGTGCCTTAATATATGGAAGGGCCTGATGATTATAGGATAGTGAGTGGAATTGAATGGAGAAGTTGAAGTCTAGAGAAATTGATATTCCGAAAGTCACAGAGCTTATTGGGATGAAAAATCTAGAATCTCTATCTTACAATTCCCAGCTCCAGCTACTTTCCACTGGGCCGCCTCCCTTATTCAAGGCATTTAGAAGAAGGTGAACAAACTAGCTATGAGCAGAGAACAAGGGTATGCGAGCATGGTGGTACCTGTGGTGAATAGGTCAAAGATACTCTCAGGAAATTCTTATAGCAAAGGAAGTTATGAATGCAAAATGGCGCTAAGTGAAACCAAAAGCAGGTTGAATGATCTCAGTACTAGTCAGGCTGCTTTTTTATTTTCCCGACTTGTCTCTAACAGAATGTTCCCTGGATGAGAGCCCAGAAATGGCCACCATTGCAGACAACTGCCTCTGAGCTGTATTCTCTCCCATGTCTCCCAACAGGACCCGCCATGGAGAAGTCGGTCGGAAACCCGCCCACGTCAGCTGTCTTGCGGGACCACTGTCACTTCTCTCAGGTCATCTTTAACCGCGTGGAGAAGTTCTATGTTCCTGGAGGGGATGTCACGTGCTATTACACCCTCACCCAGCAGTTCACTCCCCGTCGGAAGGATTGGATTGGAATCTTTAGAGTGAGTAGTCACTTTAATACCAAACGGTTTTAGTTCTAGTTGAGAATAAACAACTAGAGGTGCAGCTTCATGACTGTGTGTTACAAACATTTTGCATGTTATATCCGGCCAGTGTTAAAGTCCTGAACGAAGCTCTCCAGCACTCCCCCCTCCGCACACCAACATGGGCCTTGGGACCCAAGCGAAAATCAGGTGGCAAATCATACAATCCCCGAGTTGTATTGTGCTTTCAAAGTCCGAATGTACATTTTTACAAATTGTCCTATTTTGAAATGTTCATCTGTGACTTGATGGGTGATTGTCCCCTTCCATCATTGCTGTGACTTTAAGCTTTCTGTCTTACTTAGTAGAGTGTTTGATTTGTTTTGATATGAGTATTACACATCTGGAAAGGATGTTGAGAAGTTGCCTGGTTTGGCATCCTCCATTGAAGTTTGTTCCTGAATATGTGTGTCTTTCTTTGTAAAGATTTCCCAGGGCAGACGGTCTGTGATCTCCCTCAGTGGCCTCTTCTCATGTCTAATCGCCCTGTCAGGGCAAGTACAGAAATGCTACTTCTTTGTTAGAGTCCACTTGCTCTCTGTCTCGGCTTCTCCCTCATCCATGTCTGTGTCTGTCACACACACACATCATAATGACAAATCTTCCTATTTCCAGAGACCAGAAGCAAAGGTCACATTTAAGTAATTGACGCTGCTGAGTTCCGCTGGCTGTGACCTTTGTTTTGACACCACAGTACGTCATGTGCTTGTTTGCTGTGCTGTTCATCCTGAGCTCAGACATCATTCCTGACCACACTGTGCAGGAACCGGTGCTTGTTTACACCCCCACTCACTCACTTTTCCCCGAAATTCCAAGCTAATTGCCGGAGCCAGGGCAGCTGGTGTTCCGAGGCAGGGACAGACAACCAGAGGGACACGCAGGTAGCTTGATAGCTCCGGAGCCTGCAGGAGGCTGAAACCTTAGACTCAGAGTGTCCTAACACAGAAAACTGACACACCAGAGTGTTTCCTGTTTTGTAAAGAAGGTAATAGTTGTTTTATCCTCCCCACAGGTAAGGTAGAACTTAGTACAATGGAGCTATACCTTCGTTGTCCAGTCCAGTAGTCTCTAGCTACATGTGGCTATTGAGCATTTAAAACGTGGCTAGTGTGGCCCTAGCCGGTTTGGCTCAGTGGATAGAGCGTTGGCCTGCGGACTGAAGGGCCCCAGGTTCATTTAAAGTCAAGGGCACATGCCTGGGTTGCAGGCTTGATCCCCAGTAGGGGGCATGCAGGAAGCAGCCAAGCAATGATTCTCTCTCATCATTGATGTTTCTCCCATGTTTCCCTGAAAATAAGACATCCTCCGAAAATAAGACCTATTTACAGGTTTCCTTCTGAGTGAAATATAAGGCATCCCTCCAAAAATAAGCCTCCCCCCCCCCCCCCAAGCTCTGTCTCAGAATGCTGTTGCTAAACATGAAAGATTTGGTCCACTGATTCTGAAAGAAATGGAGTCACAAGAAATTCACCAGGAAATTCAGGAATTGGATTGTTATGATGATGTTCCAGATGATGATGACATGATTGTCATTGAATAAATGAGTAAATTCTTGATACTGTAGGATTCACAGTTTGTCTGATTTGTGTTGGCAACTACCATACTACCGTACCGTAATAAATTTCCTTTATTTTCATTTAACAATAAATGTGTACCGTATTCTTCTTCATGGAAAAATTAGACATCCCTTAAGACCTAGCGCATCTTTGGAAGCAAAAATTAATATAAGACACTGTCTTATTTTCGGGGAAACAGGGTATATCTCTCTCTCTCCCTTCCTCTCTGAAATCAATAAAAAATTTTAAAAAGACAAAAGAAACACCAAAAAGTAAATAAATAAAAAGTGGCTAGTGTGGCTGAGTAACTGAATATTAAATGTTATTTAATTTTAACTAAAATTAAATAGCCTTGTGTGGCTAGTGGCTATTATATTGGATATTGCAGATATCCTATATAATAAAAAGGTAATATGCAAATCAACCAAATGGCTGAAAGACAGGTCACTATGATGCCCACCAGGGGCAGATGCTCAATGCAGGAACTGCCCCTGGTGGTCAGTGCACTCCCACAGGGGGAGCACCACTCAGCTACAAGCCTGGCTGAGGGCTGGTGAGTGCAGCGGTGGTGGCGGGATCCTCCATGGCAGTGCTAAGGATGTCTGTGGCTTAGGGAGTGGGCCTACGTGGTCAGTCGGACATCCCCCGAGGGCTCCTGGACTGTTAAAGGGCTCAGGCTGGGCTGGGGACTGCCCCCAATTGTACAAATGTTGGGCACTGGGCCTCTAGTAGATAATAAAAAAGAGGAGGTTTCAAAAAATACTTATTAGAGTTCGTAGTGTAATCTGTAACTTTTTTGTTATGTTTCTGTTCAACTTAGACTGGTTGTGTTCCCCAAGCTCTTAGCAACTTCCAATGAAGACTTGCCCAAAAACCAAATGAAAGTCAGGCTTTTTCAAAAGACATGTTTAAAGATTTAAAAAAAAAAAAAAAAATCTGTATTTGGAATGCTTCATGCATTTCAGAGCTATTGCCATGTCTCATAAGGAAATAGTCAATCCAAAGAAAGGCCTCTAATGTTCATGTCCATAGAGCTATTGGTTTGTACACCTACCCTGAAGCCTGAAAGTTTTAAAATTAATAAAGAATGCAAACTTTTTGAGAATACACAATGTGCTAGGCCTTTGATGAGGGGGTGTGTGTGTGCTTTCTAATTTAATCCTCACAGCACAGCAGCCCCTGAGATAAGTCATACTTTCCCAAGATCTCCCAATGAGAAGGGGTAAAGAAAATTTGCTTGACATCCAAACCTCTGATTCTCCCTTCTTCCTTTGAACAGCAAACGGTAAATTAGAGAATTAATAGTCAACTCTAAACTTTTGTCCTTTGTATCTCATTTCTAAAGCTCTCTCAGTGTTCTTTCATTGTGTTTTTTTAAAATATATTTTTAATGGATTTCAGAGAGGAAGGGAGAGGAAGAGAGAGATAGAAACATCAATAATGCGAAAGAATCATTGATCAGCTGTCTCCTGCACACCCCACACTGGGGATCGAGCCTGCAACCCGAGCATGTGCCCTTACTGGGAATCGAACCGTGACCTCCTGGTTCAAGGTCGACTCTCAACCACTGAGCCACACCAGCCAAGTTTTCCAATGTGTTCTTAATCATATCCCTCAAGTCCATATCACCAAGTGCTTCCTGGCACCAAGTAGGCATTCATGAAGTGTTTTCAAATGTGCAGTATGCTACATCTTCTCAATATAGCCAAAGCTACCAATGATGGAGCTTAAAGTGAATGTGAGTCAGCTTTCCTTCCTTCAGTGTCTAGTCCTCAGCTCCCTCCTCTCCTTTAACTGAGCGTGAAAATGCCTCCAAGGTTTCAGAGGGGAAATACCTCGAGAGGCAGGCCGGGACCAGCACTACTCAGGTGGAGGAGCCTGGGACAGAAATCGTAGGTAGCTAGAAGTTGTTTGCTTGCTGCAAGGCGGCAGTAATTCTTAGGCTTTTCCTGATGATATTTTGGTCACAGTACATTAAGAAACTACAGGAAGTGAATGAAGACTCCATAAAATTCCTGCTTCCTGCGCCACAGTGGCTGTGAGCTGCGTGCAGCGAGGGGGTGTGTATTAATGAGACACTAAAACATGCCTCGTATGTTCTGATGAGCTTTCAGTGTGGCCTTTTCAACCCTGTTCCGATGCCTTAATATGGAAAAATGGGATTTATTTTCAGTCCTTTTTCTCCCCACTGGGCTCAGGCAGGGTCAAAATATGGCAATAAATGTAATTTTGCCTCTCATTTGCTGAGTGTTCTCCCCTTGGAGACACAATGGCTCCTTTTCTATTCCCTGGTGTCCTCTTATCTCCGAGATACAATTTGAGTCATCTTGTACTCCTCTTCACATTTAGTGAGAATATTTCCCACGTAGCCAGCTGTCTGTTCTGCGGCATATTTCACAGTATCCTTCTATCTTATGGCTTGCTGCAATCAGTACCTTGAAGAGGCCTTTATGATATTAGATTGTTATTCTTTTTAGCACCAAAAGCCTTCATTAAGCATGATTTAAGAAAGACACCAGAGAAATGAAAACTCTAGACTGGACACAGCTGTGTGGTGCCTTGTAATCTAAGAAGCCTCCTCCTGAGATTGCACATTATTCAAAAAATCCATTTTTTTTTAAATGCAGTAGTATAATGTTGGTGTAAGTGGTAAGACTGACCTGGACACAGAAAAGGACACACCAAGGGAGAGGGCAGATCCAAAGTGCTTTCTGATGGAGTTCCAAGAACCTTTGTAAGAAGATAGCAGGATCCAGGTTCACAGCCCCGGAACTTCTTCCCACCACTCCCAGTTCTGTGTCTGACTTGGAGATACAATTTTTGGAATTCTTGTCATGGAGGCTGAGTGATTAGTTTTTGTTTCCTACTAAGACAGGCATTTTGGACTCTGTGTGTGTTTGCTAATTTTTAGTTGCATCAGACATTTTATCATACATGTTTGTCATAGGTCAAAAACAAGATTTGATCCATGGTGAGTGGATTTTGTCCACTCGTTCTATTGTCTTTTCAACATAAATAAAAGGTAAGCACACTTTGAGAGGACATAGCCTATTTAAATAAGGATTTCCCCTGAGCACTTTCAGTTGCTGAACAGGAGCCTCTTGACCTTGCAGGTGGGATGGAAGACAACTCGTGAATATTACACCTTCATGTGGATTACTTTGCCAGTTGACCTAAACAACATATCAACCAAACAGCAGGAAGTCCAATTCAAAGGTGAGAAAAATAATGGGTAAAAGGTGTTGAAAACAGTAGCCAAGACTAATTTATTTCTTTGATCTTGGGCTTTCTAGAGCAGATAAAAGACTTCCTGATTTTTAGTTTTCTGAATAGACCTTATTTTGGATTTCAAATCATACTGTGTTTTCAGCTTATTACCTGCCCAAGGATGACGAGTATTACCAGTTCTGCTATGTGGATCAGGATGGTGTGGTCCGGGGAGCAAGTATCCCTTTCCAGTTCCGTCCAGAAAGCGAGGAGGACATCCTGGTTGTTACCACTCAGGTCTGTAAATATCTCACCTCTAGCCCTTCCTGCCAGTAAGAGTAATAATTCTAGGTTAGGGAGGGATGTGAGTCAAAAAGCCTTAATGACTGTCTAACGGATACTATTGAGAATAATTTATACAATACTCTCTCAGACCCACTTCAGAATGACTTAGGAGCGTTAGCAAGAATCATAAGTGATTTTTCCTTTCTCTACAACTAGTGTAGCTCAGTTAGCATTCAGTTCTTTTCTTATTTTTTCCCACCCACACACCTTATCAGCACAGTAAACTGATAAGCTCCTTTGAGGAGAGATGCACTAACTATTTTTCTTGGATCTCTCAGTTCTACACAGAACCTGTCATGCACGAGTATTAGATTCACTTACTTAACAGGACACCTACTGTCCAGTTGGTACAATGGGAGGCACTAGGGATGCATGTACAATCTGTTAAAACTGTCGGTGGTCTCAAAGAGCTAAGTCCGTGAAGACAAGCAGTACTAAGTGTTTGTGAGAAGATCTACATTCTTCTGTCAGTTCCCCTTTTCACTTTACATGGCCTTGATTTTGTTTCTCTTTCTTCTTAGTAGTCGTAGGCTCAGTACTGCAGTTTATACAGACACACTTCTATTACTGCTTCCTTACTTTGCGGGGCTGCTCCCACTTGGCACAGAGATACCACTATAGTGAGTGGAAGCCATTCGGACTTCTCTATCCCAGGCTAGGGGAATTTTCTGCTGCAAGGATTGAAATATCCATTGAGCTACAAAGGGTCAAACAGGAGTTTCTAGCATGCTCTTTCGTAGGGTGAGGTGGAAGAGATTGAGCAGCACAACAATGAGCTTCGCAAGGAAAACCAGGAGCTGAAGGACAGCTGTGTCAGCCTCCAGAAGCAGAACTCAGACATGCAGGCTGAGCTCCAAAAAACGCAGGTATGGCTGTTAGCTAACGGTGAGTTTAGAGTATGGAATTGGATGGTGCCTCTTAGCCAGTCCAGCACCGTTTTCTGTTTTGCTTGTGATCTCACTCCCTTATACTAATAACTTTGAATAGGCATAGTGTTAGAAGTTTTTTGTGGATCATTTTATTTAAACTTCATGGCAAACTTTTGGAATATGTAAGATTATTACCCCTATTTTACAGATGAGTTACCTAAGGCTTAGGGGAATTAAAGAATCTCTTATACAGCTAATCAGTGATGGAGCCAGGATTGAGACCCATGCAGTCTGACTACTTCTTTCCATTGCCTGTTTATAATCTATAATAATAAAAGTGTAATATGCAAATCAATCGAACAGCCAAACAGCGGAATGACTATCCACACAACCTTCGGGGTGAAGCCTGGCTGCGAGGGCTGTGAGGGCCGAGGCTGCTGGTCCTCACAGCCACCCCACAGGGCCTGCTCTTGCACTGAACCGTGTGCTCGGAATGGTTAAGAGAGTAAGTTTTATGCCAGGTATATTTTATTACAATTTTTTAATATATATTTTTATTGATTTTAGAGAGGAGGGAGAGAGAGAGAAACATCAATGATGAGAGAACCACTGATTGGCTGCCTCCTGCACACCCCCTATATTAGGATTAGAGTCTGCAACCCCTATACATGCCCTTGACTGGAATCAAACCCAGGACTTTTCAGTCTACAAGTTAATGCTCTATCCACTGAGCCAAACCAGCCGGGGCTACTACAATTTTTAAAAATATATTTTTATTGATTCAGAGAGGAAGGGAGAAGTAGAGAGAGTTAGAAACATCAATGATGAGAGAATCATTGATCGACTGCCTCCTGGGGATCAAGCCCACAACCTGGGCATGTGCCCTTGCCCAGAATCAGACCTGGGCCCCTTCAGGCCTCAGGCCAGTGCTCTATCCACTGAGCCAAACTGGCTAGGGCTTAACTACAATTTGTTAAACAGGGGAGGAAGAAAAAAAAAACTTTTTAGAAGTCTATAAACAAACTTTTCTCATCTTAGAGCTAAAAACAAATAGTTGTTATTTACACACAAGAATTGATTCAGTTCAGAAGGCATTGAGAAAGAAAAACAAATGTTTGGAACAAATATGGTGGCCACTTGCTCCATGTGAATTGTGGCTTATTGGGATATGCTGGAAGCCTAAAATGCTTTCTGGATTTTGAAGACTTTGTCTGAAAAAAAAGTGTAAAATTCTTTTTATTGTTTACATTTTGAAACAATATTTTAGATATATTGAGTTAAATTTACTAGTGGTAAAATTAATTTCATGTTGTTTTTTACTTTTTTTAATATGGCTACTAACATTTTTTAATTACATATGTGGCTTTCTGAATTTATTGAACAGCGCATTCCTAGGAGAAAAGCAGCATTATTTTATCCACTGCTGTGTCTGCAATGCCAGACAGTGTCTGGTGTGCAGTAGGCGCTTATTAAATATTTGTTTAATGAATTAATGAGCAAATGCACGCTCCAGTGGAAGAGAAATTAAGGTAGATACATTTTTAATATGAAAGAAACGTATTAAGAATATTTGAATATGAGAAACCCCTTTACTTAGATATTTTATTCACTATTATGCCATCCTATGCCTGACATGCAATACATGCTCAATCAATATTTGTTGGCTGCCTGAGATGTTAAAACTGTCTTAAAAATGGTTTGTGCCTTTGACGTTACAATCTACAGGAGGAGCTAGAAACCTTAAAGAGCATCAACAAGAAGTTGGAACAGAAAGTGAAGGAGCAGAAGGACAGTTGGGAAACAGAGCTGCTACAGTGAGTGCGATCCTTGCATCGGAGGAACTGCCATCTGATAGGCACCCTTAGGAGGTCAGATTAGCTTTCTAGAATTTGTTAGACTACAGTCTTCCTATTATGGCATTGAGGGGCGTGGTTCTCCCCTTCGAGTCATGATCTCTTTGCTTCTAGGTGAGAGAATTTTGAGTCAGAATGGTAAGGAGAAATGACGTAAATTCACGTGTTAACGTGAAGTGGCTTGGAGGTCCGGAAGCCAAAACAGGACTGAAGAAGAGACTAATGGGTTTTAAAATAAATCTGGAGGCGTAGGGCCCAGGCAGACTTAAATCAGTTAGGGCCTGGGGTAGCCAGCAGGCATCAGCATATATTTCACATGGTCATCTCCACCTCCACAGACTGAAAGAACAAAACCAGAAGATGTCCTCAGAGAACGAGAAGATGGGAGTCAGAGTGGATCAGCTTCAGGTAAGTGACGGCAAACCTTTGCCCATCGCTCAGCCACTGAGCCACACCGGCCGGGAGGAACACACATTTTTTTATGGTTTGCACATTACAAAGCATTGTTCCTGGTTAGCTTTCCTCCTTTATATCTTTGATGTATTTACTATTTTTGCTTTAGGCACAGCTGTCAAATCAAGAGAAAGAAATGGAGAAGCTTGTTCAGGAAGCTCAAGATAAGACAGAGCAGTTGGAATGTCTGAAAAAGGAAAATGGCCAGCTCTTTCTCAGTTTAATGGAACAGGTAGAGTTATGAAAAAACATACAACTTTTTGTCATTTAGGAGAAAATATACACATTGTTCTTTCTTTATCACTTACCTGGATATCACTGGCTCTGGGGAAGGTCTCAGAGGACGCCTCTGAAAGAGGTATCTCATGGCTGTTCTCAGAAACTGATAAGAGAGGCTTGCTTCTTTCTCTGTATCCTGCTTGCTCATTAGCTGGGCAGGCCCTTCCCCAGTGACTGTGTGTGTGTGTGTGTGTGTTTCTAGCAGTGATACTAAAATCTGTTTTTGTGCAGAGGAAACACCAGCAGAAGCTAGAGAAGACAGTGGAGGAGCTGAAGCAGCAAGAAGCTATTGCAGCGACGAAGCAGCAGGAGTTAACGGCATGTCTATCTTCGGAGGGCTCCATGGGAGGGAGCCTGCACAAAGGAGGGAGAGGGTCTGCACTTGAGTGATGGGCAGGATAAATAAGCAAAGACGAGAATAGCACCTACCTCTGGGCACTTTGCATTCTACCCAGAAGGATAGAGAATTTGTTATGTACAAAATGTTTAGGAGAGGTGAGTATTTTAATAAGTCAGAATGATAAAAGAATATTGGAAGGTAAACTTTATGACAAGTTGTAGTAAATAGAGCCTTGGCTAGGAATTGCTTTTTTAAAAAATATTTTTTTATTGATTTCAGAGAGGAAGAGAGAGGTAGAGAGCGCTAGAAACATCAATGATGAGAGAGAATCATTGAATGGCTGCCTCCTGCACACCCACACTGGGGATCAAGTCCTCCAACCTGGGCTTGTGTCCTGGCTGGAAATTGATAAGTGACCTCCCGGTTCATAGGCCAACGCTCAACCATCAAGCCATGCCAGCCGGACAGAAATTCCTTCTTAAATTGTGTGCAGGCAGACAAATGATTATAAAGTTGAGCTCTATGATTGGAAAATATTACAGCAGTCAAATTTTATTACAATTGATATAATATTGTCAGTTGTCGTCATAAATTATTCTGAGCTATAGTATAAGGGTGATGCTAGCCTACTTTACTAATAATTTTCTATAATATATTATTGGAAAAGAGGCTTCGTGGTGATGACAGGTGCCTAGGAGCCCCATTTTCTGAATTGATGTAAGAATGAGAAATCCTGATGTGTGGAGCCTATCAACTACTGGAATTGTAACTCATTATATATGTACATTTATTCATTCAGTCATTATCCAACCAGTTATTGAGTACTTACTACTATGTAAGATACTGTATTTTAGCCTAATGAAGAGTAGAACAAAGTTTGTAAGTCATCAGTTCATAGGTTAAGTTTAGTTAACAGAAATGTTTTATTTGGCCCAGATGATGTTTTTTAAAAAATTGAGTTTGTTACTAATACTTAAAAATGGGAATCTTTCCCATTAAAAGTTGTATTCCATTGAAAAATTAGAGGATCTGTACACATGGGCCCACATCTGGAGCTGAGTAGCTGCTGCACCCTTTAGATGGGTCACGTGTTCTCCATTTGCTGTCTTCACTGTTTCATTGCATTCAGCTCCTTCCTTCAATTATGTTACATATTTGAGTTTGTGACCTCTAATGTAGCAAAGAGATTACTGTTTTAAATAATCTAGAGCCATCCAAAGATTTGAACCTTCTTGTGGCAGCTATGGGTTTTCTCTGGGGTATTTTGCAAGATCCAGGGGCTCCCCGGCTAATACCAATTCTTTATTCCTAATGCATCCAAAAGGCCCCTACCCACGAGGACTCTGCTCTTACACTCCTGGGGCCTGGGAACCAGAAAACGCAGTGGGAGAGCAGTTAGAATAGAGGTGGACTCGCTAAGGGCTAAGGTAGAGGCCGGGAAAGCCTGTTTCTTAGAGAAGTACCAACAGAGTCAGTGACTCCACCAGCAGATCAGGCAGCTCAGGGCTGCTGTACTGATAGGTGAGAGAGAAGGGGCCCAGAAAGCAAGGGGTGTGAATGCTGGCGGTTCTTAGACAAACCCAGAGGGTTGTCCACCCTTGTTAAGGAGAGAAATTTATCTTTCTGCTAAAAAGAGGAGGGATGGCTGAGACCGGTTTGGCTCAATGGATAGAGCGTCGGCTTGGGGACTGAAGGGTCCCGGGTTCGATTCCGGTCAAGGGCATGTACCTTGGTTGCGGGCACATCCCCAGTAGGGGGTGTGCAAGAGGCAGCTGATCGATGACTCTCTCTCATCGATGTTTCTAACTATCTCTCTCCCTTCCTCTCTGTACAAAATCAATAAAATATATTTTTAAAAAATAAATAAATAAAAAATAAAAATAAAAAGAGGAGGGATGAAGTGTGCAGCCAGAAACCAGCCTGGGAATCCCTGGAAATACAGGCCCAGCTCAGCCATGGGCCTCAGGGAGGGTTTTTGTAACCAGTGAGCAGATTTCTGAGCAGATCCGGAGAGCCTTCCTTATGTCTGCTCCTTGAGAAAGTGAAGCAGGGCTGGAAGAGCCTGCAGGAGCCAATGGGGATGGGAAGCAGGGGCTGCAGCCGGCGGTGTCATCGGGCAGCCTCTCTAGCGTTCCCGCCTCAGAGTTGTCTAGACGCGCCCAGCAGTTTGAGCACCAGCATTCAAATAAGTCTTAGAGAGCCAAAACAGTGTGGCTCAGTGGATAGAGCATCGGCCTGCGGACTGAAAGGTCCCAGGTTCGATTCCGGTCAAGGGCATGTACCTTGGTTGCAGGCACATTCCCGATAGGGGGTGTGCATGGAGGCAGCTGATCCATGATTCTCTCTCATCGATGTTTCTAACTCTCTGTCCCTCTCTCTTCCTCTCTGTAAAAAATCAATAAAATATATTAAAAAAAAAAAAAAAAAAAAAAGGTCTTAGGGAAAAACTGCACCATTAGTAGGATTAGCTAAGTGTTTCTGAGAGGTATGGGAACGTGGATGTGTGTAGGTAGGAGATGGAAAGCTCTGAAACATGCCTAGGAGTTTGGGATTCATGAAACTAGTCAGGGCAACATCAAGCCCAGCATCCCCGTGTGGGTTCCTGGTAGCCTTAAATAAATCCTGCTCAGATTCTTCTTCCTCACTGTAACTGAGTCCAGATGCCTGTTTTCACACTGGGAGGGAGTCAGGCCAGCCTAACCCTAAAAGCTTCAGGCTGCATTGACAGATGTTTATTCAAGACAAAGGCGACTGTTTCCATTGCTGGGTGGGGTTGAACAGGCTCCATTTATCCCCAACTCTGACAAGTCAGTCTTGAGGTTTTCCCCAAACTGTTTCTCTCTTTTGGTCACTTGCAAACCAGAAGAAACAGGCATTGGATGCTCATCCAGGCCTTCGGGCATTTTAAGTGACTTTTCTATTAGTTAATGTGCTCCATAGTACTCCTCCCTACTCCAGTTCCCTCCCCACCTCGGTCCCAACACTTTGAAAAGCTAAAACCTCTGCGATCTTGTTTTACCCCACCGTGGATCCAAATGATCATATCTGATCCTAATCCTAATTTTTTTTTTTTTTTAATTATTGACAGGACGAGAACTTGTTCCTGTCAAAAAAGCTGAGTGATGACAAGATGATATATAGTGTTCTACAGAAAGAGAAAGAGAGATTGGAAGGAGAAAATGATGTGAGTATGTAAATGAGGATAGAAAACTCTTAAGATTTTAAGGGGATGGAGCAGGGTGAACCAGAGGTGCGGTGATAAAATAAAGTTAATAGCCCTGTTGGTTGCTCAGTGGTTAGAGCGTCGACCTGGGGACCTGAGGGTTTGTGGTTTGATTCCCAGTCAACCTCAGGAGGCAACCAATAGATATGTCTTTCTCATGCTGATATTTCTCTCTGTGTGTTTCTTCTACCCTTTCCACTCTCTTAAAAAAAAAAAATCAATGGGGAAAAAATATATCCTTAGGTGAAGATTTAAAAAATAAACATAAATAAATAAGTTAAATAAAAGAGCCCATTCTGGGACAGTGAGGGAGGCACATGCCACTAAACAAAGTAAATGTAATCTGGTTTCCTGATCGACTATAGAGTCCTCTTTCTGTCTATAACACACTTGTTTGGCATGACAACAGTCAACCTGAAAGGAACAGCTTTGACAGCGATCTCACATACTATTTTGGTTTTATCTTCAGCGCGATTGTAAGCGTGGTCTTTGGAGGGTAATTTCCTGTGTCACTGTTATACTAGTCAGGAACCCCTTTCCTTCAGCACAGCTTTCTCTTTTTTCCTCTGCTGCCAGACCAGGAGCAGACGTGGCGGTCTGTACCAGTCCTGTATGCATGGTAGGCTCCTAATAACTGCATTCATTCATTCACTTATTCATCTGTTCATCCATTCATCCAACCGATATTTTCTGCTGTGTTAAACACAGATTATTATTAATTGATTAATTGAGGATGCTGACGGCAAATGAAGCGGTTGCACTTGAAGCCATTCTCAGGCCACGCCTTCTGGCTCCTCCCTCTAGGCCCACCGAACACCTCCAGCCGTGCCCCTTCTCTGACTTCTCTGTAACCCTCTGGGCTGTGCCTCTCAGCAGTCACTTCTACTTTGGATTTTACCGTTTATTCCAGCACGCTTCAGCATTGTAAAAGGCATTTGGAGTCTGTTTCTGGCCCTGTCATTCCCAACCTCTTCATTTAGACAAATACACTTTGACTTTGAAATCCCTGTTTGCCTGGAATAATCCAATGGGGCCAGGCAGGGGTAAGAGGGAGTGTGCACACAATTTGGCACAAGAAGGAAAAGACCTGATACTTGGAAGCTTCGCTAAGAGCCATAGTAAAGTCCTCTTAAGATGTTGCGGAGCAGTACACTAATTTATTTTTTATTTTTTAGTATATTTTATTGATTTTACATAGAGAGGAATTGAGAGGGATAGAGAGTTAGAAACGTCGATGAGAGAGAAACATCGACCAGCTGCCTCTTATACACCCCCCACTGGGGATGTGCCTACAACCAAGGTATGTGCCCTTGATCGGAATCGAACCCGGGACCTTTCAGTCCACAGGCCAATGCTCTACCACTGAGTCAAACTGGTTTCGGCACTTATTTCTTTTTTAAAGAACTTTCAATGCTCTCTGTCCCCCTCGTAGCTTATTCTCCTTCTTTCTCTCTCATCCCCTCCCTCTCTCTTACCTTTCCTTCCTCTCACTCTCTCTGTTGGGATACCCATTGGATGGGATAAAACATAAAGAAGGGAAGATTATATCAGATTAATATTTACATTGTGTAAGAAGATTGTTCTAGGAAGGAGACTAAAAAGCATTTCACTCTCAATAACGTACAACAATTTCAATCTTAACATAGCTCCCGCCAGCCTCATATATATATGCATACAACTTTTGTGCCTCCTTCAGTTTGTATGTGTTTAGAGATTTTAAATTCTTTTTTACGTTAATCTAAACAAAATCTGGTATGCATTTAAATTCAGATCTTAAGGTCTCAGATCTTCAGAGCCCCGGAGGTGGCTGCTTCCTCTTTTCAAAATGGATTATCATTTCCACGGCTCTTCAGTACCACATTGTTCATCAAGAGCTACCTCTAATGGACGCCCTTTGCCAGTTTGTTCAGGCCACTCTTTGTTGTTGTCTTTCAACATGTTGCTCTAAATCTTCTGTCCTTAGTTTTTGAAGAGGGATAACGTCAGGCTGATGAGTTACATGGGTCTGGATTTTGACAGTATGCCATATCAAGTGCCTTCGGATCAAGAAGGTGCAGGACAACACCCAGGACTTGTCTTTGGAAACCCCTATTCTGGTAAGACAGCTCTGCCGTTGGAGCTGACAGACCCCTGTCGCCATCCCTCTCCCCCACTGAGTGTTTGTGTGTCTGAGATGCTAATGGAGACCAGTCTCATTGTTCAGTCTTGCTGGGCAGAAGCTGAGGACCCGGTAGAAAGATTGCCAGGCGAGAAGTGTTAATTGAGAAATAAATCTGAATCTAGAAGACGCAAATCAGATCATTCGCCTAGAAGCAGCAGACACAAATTGAGTCCCGTGGCTATATTCCAAATATATAAATCAGGGAGCTGTCTCCATGAGGAAGATATACACATGCAGAGCCGAGGAGGCTAATTAAGATTTGGAAATGAAAGCACAAGAGGCGGGCAGTGCCACCCAGAAAGGAGCATCACATCCGCCACCCGAAGGCCTGACCCAGGGTGGCCGGAGTGTGCTCCACAGTGACCCCTGGGGTGTGGGTGACAGGAAATGGGGGTGACAACCACTTTGTATCTCATGGACCAGGGGTCAGGTGTCCTTACCAAACTGGGGACGTCCCTCTTTTGTCTTCAAAAGGGACCCGAGACCTCATTTTCTGGAAGTTTAAAGCAGTCATGTTGTCTCAAGAGTCACAATCAGATCTTTGCAACAGACAAGGTCACATGTTTATTTTTCCTTGTAAATATTTGTAAGTACTTTAGTTGAAAAACAGCTCCATGGATTCAGTCTTAAAATCTATTCTCAGACTGTTTCCTTGTTAAATTGTTACTGTTTTTATTAAAATCTCATTTGCCACCCACTGAAAAGAGATGTTTTTTTCTTCTGATTGTGTAACATACAATCAGAAGAAAAAAAGCGGCTATCGAAAAGGCCGCTTCATTCTTTTTTTTTCATTTCCCCCCTTTATTGAGCTCTGTCAGCAGTAAATGGTTTATAAAAGAGAGAGACGGTCGGAGGCAACGAGGAGAAAGGGAACTATGGGAGTTACAAAACACAGCTGCTGGAACACGTGTCCTGGGGTAGCGATCTGGGGGCGATACCTCCTCATTGAATGAAATCTCTTTTATGACCCTCAGGCATCCAAGAAAGCGGTGCCCCCATCCTGGTAAGTATTTTGAATCACGAGGAAATTGCCCTCTCTGCTCCGGTTCCCGGGAGAACCACCGGGAAACCGGTCACGTAGAAACTCCTGAGGTCAGCTGCAGCCTGCTGAGGTGGGAGGAGGCACGGTCTATCCATCAGCGCCCTGCTCCCGGTTCTCATTGTGAGTTGGGTTTGGTACCAGATTAGGAAGGAGGTGTGAACTAGGCAGCCAGCCAGACAAGGTAAGTCAGGGGCCCCTCCCAGGCCGGAAGCTGTGTGACTGCTTCAGCAGCTTGAGGGCCTTTCAATCCTGCGTTAGAGAAAGCCCAGGGAGCCTCTTGAAATGGGAACTTGAGCACCTACCATGTGCTCAGCTCTATGCTGAGGAGAGCGTGGGAAAGAAGATGGGCATCGTCTCCGCCGTGCAGCCTGCATTCTCACCGGCCTCTGTTCCCCTCCCAGCCCTCCGTCAGCAAGTGTCCCACCTGCAACTCAAACATCGCTGACGACGTTTTTGAGCGCATCTCGCAGCAGCAGCCCGTTGAGACCCTGTCTTTGAATTGTCCGATTTGTGACAAGAGCTTCTCACCAGACGAAGAGCAAATCTTTGAAGACCATGTGTTCTGCCACAGTCTTTAAGCGACCCAGCCTCCTGGATCTCTCCTGCACGTAGATTTTATAGAGTAGAACCGGTAGCTTCTGCTATGGTTATGACACGAAAGCCTGCCTAACTGAAATCATTAAGGATCTGCTCAGCCCTGCTGCCCTAACGTAGAATGGTGTCGATAATCTAAAGGATAGTGCTAAGGGCTGTGCTTCCATCTGTGTGGTTTAGGACCTTTTAAATCACAGAACGCTAGCAATCGGCCTCTCACCTCCGATGCCCATTTCTCCAAGGATTTCCAGGACAAGGGCCCTGGAATAGAAGCAGCCTGGCTGTTCAGGACAGGTTTGACTCAAATACTAGGTTGTCCCACAGCCACTGAGGGTCAGGCCTTGAGTATATTTGTACTCAGACTTCAGCCCTACCCTTGGGGCTGGGCATTGATCAGAAGTTGAGCATTTCTTCCTGCTCTCCTCCAGGCCTTTCTCCAACCGATTGCATTAGGCTGGCCAAAACTGGCATGGCAGGGCGCTCAGGCATCCAGTTGGGATGCCAACCGTTTCTCAGTTCCTAATAGAAGCGCCTTGTTCCGGAACCATGGACACGAAATGTTATTTCGGTCACCGAAAACCTTTCTCTCTGGATACCTCTGATTGGCACTTTTTACTCTTTGATCTTTCCTGTGCACATAACCTTTTTTTGGTGTAAGTTCTTAACAGTTAGTGGGAATTGTTAGACACTGTTTGAGTTTGCAACTTTGTAAGCTGGTGACTTTCATTATGGATGAGTCCGAATAATGAGAAGTAATGATAACCTCTTTAATACTAAAAATAAACTAGTCCTCTTTTTCAGGAACTTTGGTAATTTAAAATAAATCTTGCGTTTATGGTCTTTTGTTTTTAAGCTTATGAGAAAAGAATTGTGGGAATTATGGACCTCACCAATCATAGATGTCTCTATCTCCCCCCTCCCTTCCTAGAATCAGATGTGACATTAAGACTAATCCTGGAGCTCTGGCCAGTGTGGCTCAGTTGGTTGAGCATTGTCCGTGCACTGAAATGTTGCCAGTTCAGTTCCTGGTCAGGGCACATGCCTAGGTTTGGGCTCAAACCCCAGTAGGGGGAATATAATCGATGTTATGCTCTGGCATCAATGTTCCTCTCTCTAAAAAACCAATTAGAAATATATATATTTTTTTAAATATATTTTATTGATTTTTTACAGAGGAAGGGAAAGAGATAGAGAGCTAGAAACGTCGATGAGAGAGAAACATCAACCAGCTGCCTCTTGCACACCCCCGACTGGGGATGTGTCCGCAACCAGTGTACATGCCCTTGACCAGTTGACCAGAATCGAACCTGGGACCTTTCAGTCCGCAGACCAACGCTCTACCACTGAGCCAAACCGGTTTCAGCAGAAATATAATTTTAAAAGACTAACTCTAGAATAGACGTGTAATGGGGAAACACAGTTGTTTTTCTAGCAGATACCCTTCCTTCCTGATAGTTCAGTGAAGAACTGCAGCTTCATTTGTGAGTGCCATCTTCTGGTGAATTACCCCCACTTTGCCCCCGCCCCCGCCACCATCCTGGGGGTCACTGTGATTGTCAACCGCAGCAGGAGCCCTTCCAAAGCCTTCCTTAAAAAGCCAGTTGAGGTGTCGAGGCTCCTTTTTGCTGGATGTAAAACAAAGCATCTTAACCGCTGTTCATTGTCCCCCGCTGCTCTTACCAATGCTTCGAAGGGGAATGATACTCCAGGCAGCTCCTAGTGGTAAAGGAAACAATCTCCATATCCACTCCTCACTCCAGCCTTTCCCCTCTATGCTCTCTGGCACCCACACATTTTATAGCTGTAAAGTACCTGCCAAAACACACACACACACATATATATATATGACGTGGGAGCAAAATAGTATTTATGTCTAAATTAGATTTTACAATAGACCTAGAAGATAATTTCTTCTATAGTCACAAGTTAGTTTGTTTTTTCTAATTTATTTTCTCTTGGTCTATTAAAATATTTTTATATTACTTTAACACACTGACTTGACAGGCAGTGGGAAAAAGTCACCCTGGCACATGTGTGTGTGAGTAGTGAAGGAAAGCTAGCCTAAAGTCAGAAAAGGGAGAGCTGGCAAGATATTTGGTAAACGTAGGCCCTAAGGACTGTAGCTTCTGCCCTTGTCCCTGTTCTTGCTAAAAATTGGGATGAAATCAAATTGCCTTAATGTTTAAATATTCTGAGTCGAGTGATTTTCTACATTGGCAAGGGTTACACTGAGCTAAGCATACTCTAACCTGGTCTCCTAGCAACAAATATTAATGAAATGATAGGCTAGGGCTAAATGATACAATCCATTACCTAGGAAAAAAGCAAAATGGACTTAACATGGAGATCAAACCCAGAGAGATACTCACCTAATTCCCCTGAGTTACCCAATAATAGACCACACGCTCAGAGAAGATACAGTGGCCCCCATGCTCCCCTTAGTTACATATGGCTAATAAATTAAGTGTCTGACTGACTGGTCGCTATGATGCACACTGACCACCAGGGGCCAGACGCTCAGCACAGGAGCTGCCAAGCTGCAGTGACTTGGCAGCGTTGGTTCTCAGGTGAAGCACCCCGAAACCAGAGAGGAGGGAGCCAGTTCATCATGGCGCCACAGGATTCCACCTTTGGCCATGGGTTATATTGCTGGGGCACTGTTGGCCCCCAGTCTGGTTTGCATTCCACACCCTGTATGACAGCAACTTTGCAGAGTGCCCTCTTGCACTCGGACCCCTCAGAGGATGTCAGAGAGCAGGTTTTGGCCTGATCTCCACAGGCCAGGCTGAGGGACCCCACCTGCCAGAGGGACCCCTGCTCGCTCCGCAGACACTGTTGACCCTAGGTGCTGCCGGCTGGGGAGGGACCTCGGGAGGTTGGCTCCAGGGCGTCTCTGGCCCTGTCTCGCTCCACCGGCCACCTTCTAATTAATTTCCTTTCAATGTGCATGGATCCGTGCCCTGGGTCACTTGTATATGAAAATAATGTCTTTACATGCATATAATGCTTTATAGCTTAGAATGTATTCCATATTTTATAGATGAATAAGTTGAAGCAAATGACCTGCTAAAAGTGGAAGCAACCTAAATGTTCATCAGTCGATGAAGGGGTAAATAAAAATGGGTTATCCATACAATGGGATATTATTTGGCAATAAAAAAGAATGAAGTATGGATATGTGTCACAATGCAGATGAACCTTGAAAACATGCTAAGTGAAAGAAGTCATCCATGAAAACACATTCTGTATGATTCCATATTTATGAAATGCCCAGAAGAGGCAAATATTCTATAGAAACAAGATAGATAAGTGTTTTCCTAGGGCTGGGGGTTGGGGGAAATGGAGAATGATTGCTAATAGGTATGGAGTTTCTCTGCGAGATAAAGAAAATGTTATAAAAGTATTTTGGAGAATAAAATAGTGACTAAGAGTTTTAATTCATAAACTCTGTGAATGTACTAAAAGCCACTGAATTTACACTTCAGATGGGAGAAGTGTATGCTATGTGAATTATATCTCAAGTTATTATTTAAAAGTGGTTTTTTTCCCATTTATTTTTTTTTATATATTTTATTGATTTTTTACAGAGAGGAGGAGAGAAGGATGATAGAGAGCTAGAAACGTCGATGAGAGAGAAACACCGACCAGCTGCCTCTTGCACACCCCCATGTACATGCCCTTGACCGGAATCGAACCTGGGACCTTTCAGTCCGCAGACTGATGCTCTACCACTGAGCCAAATTGGTTTCGGCTAAAAGTTTTTTTGTTTTTTTTTTTAAAAACCTGGTAAGCCGAAACCTGTTTGGCTCAGTGGATAGAGCATTGGTCTGTGGACTGAAGGGTCCTGGGTTCAATTCTGGTCAAGGGCATGTACATTGGTTGCGGGCACATCCCCAGTAAGAGGATGTGCAGGAGGCATCTGGTCGATGTTTCTCATCGATGTTTCAAACTCTATCCCTCCCTCTTCCTCTCTGTAAAATATCAATAAAATATATATATTTAAAAACCTGCTAAGGTCACACATTGGCTCATGGTGGGAGGTCTTAAATAACACAGCACAGAGCAAATTCAACAGTTGAACTTGGTTGGAATACACTCACCCCATTTCAACTCACGGCCACACAGTGTTGGGGTCTCCCCTGTCTCGGGCTGGGATTCACAGGGGCAGGCGGTCAGTGGCCAGCAGTCAGTGGTCTCTAGGAACATCCATTCTGTGAAGATGAATGTTTCCAATAAACTGGGGGGAAAGAGCCACCGGCCCACAAATCCCAGGTAATCACATTAAGGGATCTGGCCTGCTCTGACTAATGTTATTACTTCCTCACCGCGGGAGGAAGGAATATGACACCCCAGGGAACCAAGTCTTTTGTTGACTCAGCCAGTCCACGTTTATTGGGCACCCATAGTGTGCAGAACTAGAAGAGGGTCAGGATTACAAAAATAGAAGGCAAGTTTTTCCTTTGAAGGATCTGCCAGATGAATGAAGACATTCTCTTTCCCCTAAGGGGAGCTCAAACTGCTGGGGTAGAGAGTCTCGGTTTTCAGGGGGTCTCCTAATATGGAGAAAAGAGAGAGCCACCCACAAAGCAATTTAAGGACACAAGGATAAGGGAAGTCTACTTGCAAAGTGAGGGCATAGAGCAATGAGACCAAATGGTTAATTAAGGTCTAATCAAAGCCCAAGGTAATGATGTCTTAGAAGAGTGTGCTTTGGAAGAGGTTGAGAAATAGAAATGACAAGCCCGGCCGGTGTGGCTCAGTGGTTGAACATCGACCTGTGAACCAGGAGGTCACAGTTTAATTCCCAATCAGGACACATGCCTGGGTTGTAGGCTTGATGCCCAGTGTGGAACATGCAGGAGGCATCTGAACAATGACTCTCTCTTATCATCGATGTTTCTATCTCTCTCTCCCTTCCTCTCTGAAATCACAAAAATCTATTTTTTTATTAAAAAAAGCACTTTAAATTACATACTAAATATTG